TTGTTTTCTTCTTGTGTTCATAAGTTCTTATCATTCAGCTCCCATCTACATGTGAGATCATGTGGTATTTGGTTTTCCTTTCCTGTGTTAGTTTGCTAACAAATTTGATGATAGCCTCTAGCTCCATCCATGTTCCTGCAAAAGACATGATCTCATTCTTTTTTATGGATGCATAATATTCCATGGCGTATATGTACCACATTTATTTCATCCAGTCTTTCACTGATGGGCATTTAAGTTGATTCCATGTCTTTGCTATTGTGAGCAGTGCTGCAATAAACATTTGCATGCATGTCTCTTTATGGTATAACCCTTTATATTCCTCTGGGTACATACCCAGTAATGGGATTGCTGGGTCAAATGGTAGTTCTGCTTTTAGCTCTTTGAGGAATCATTGTGCTGCTTTCAACAATGGTTGAACTAATTTACACTCCCACCAAAAGTATATGAGTACTCCCTTTTCTCTGCAACCTTGCTAGTCTGTTATTTTTTGACTTTTAATAATAGCCATTCTGAGCAGTGTGAGATGGTATCTCCTTGTGGTGTTGATTTGCATTTATCTTATGATCAGTGATATTGAGCTTTTTTCCATATGCTTGTTGGCCACGTGTATGTCTTCTTTTGAGAAATGCCTGTTCATGTCCTTTGTCCACTTTTTAATGGGGTTGTTTGATATTCTCTTCCAAGTTTGCTTATAGATGCTGGATATTAGACCTTCATCAGTTTGCAAAAATTTTCTCCCATTCTGAAGGTTGTTTGTTTACTCTGTTGTTGGTTTCTTTTGCTGTGCAGAAACTCTTAAGTTTAATTAGATCCCATTTGTCAATTTTTGCTTTTGTTGTGATTGCTTTTGGTGTCTTTGTCATTAATATGATTTGACTGGGTCCCCACTCAAATCTCATCTTGAATTCCCATGTGCTATGGAGGCACCCAGTGGGAGGTAACTGAATCATGGAGGCAAGTCGTTCCCATGCTGTTCTTGTGATGGTGAGTAAGTCTCACAAGATCTGACGGCTTTAAAAAGAGGAGTTCCCCTGCACAAGCTCTCTCTCTTTGCTTGCTGCCATCACATAAGACGTGACTTGCTCTTCCTTGCTTTCCATCATGATTGCGAGGCTTCCCCAGCCACATGGAACTGTAAGTCCAATTAAACCTCTTTCTTTTGTAAATTGCCCAGTCCTGGGTATGTCTTTATTGGTAACATGAAAACTGACTAATACAGTCATGAAATCTTTGCCCATTTCTAGGTACAGGATGGTATTGCCTACGTTGTGTTCCAGGGTTTTTATAGCTTTGGGTTTTAAATTTAAGTCTTTAATCCATATTAAGTTGATTCTTGTACATGGCGTAAGGAAGGGGTTCAGTTTCAATCTCCATTGACTAGCCAGTTATCCCAGCAACATTTATTGAATAGGGAGGCATTGCCCCATTGCTTATTTTTGCCAGCTTTGTCAAAGATCAGGTGTCATAGATGTGTAGTCTTATTTCTAGGCTGTCTATTCTGTTCCATTGTTGTTTTAGTTGCTGTAGCTCTTATAGCATAGTTTGAAGTCAAGTAACATGATTCCTTCAGTTTTGTTCTTTTTGCTTAGGATTGCCTTGGCTATTCAGGCTTATTTTTTTGGTTCCATATAAATTAAAATTTTTTTCTCTAGTTCTGTGAATACTGTCATTGGTAGTTTGATAGGAATAGCATTGAATCTATAAATTGTTTTGGGCAATATAGCCGTTTAAATGATATTGATTCTTCCTATCTGTGAGCATGAAATGTTTTTCCAGTTGTATGTGTCTTCACTGATTTCTTTGAGTAGTGTTTTGTAATTCTCAGTATAGAGATCTTTTACCCCTCTGATTAGCTGTATTCCTAGGTCTTGCAGGTTTTTATTGTTTGTGTGTGGCAATTGTGAATGGAATTGCCTTTCTAATTTGGCTCTCAGTTTGTTGTTGGTATATAGGAATGGTAGTGATTTTTGTACATTGATTTTGTATCCTGCAATTTTTATGAAGCTGTTTATCAGCCAAGAGAGCTTTGGGGCCAACACTATGGGGTTTTCTTGATATAGAATCATGTCATCTGCAAACAGAGATAATTTGAACTCCTCTTTTCCTATTTGGATGCCTTTTATTTCTATCTCTTGCTTGATTGCTCTGGCTAGGACATCTAATACTACATTGAATAAAAGTGGTGAGAGAAGGCATCTTTGTCTCATGCCAGTTTTCAAGAAAAATGCTTCCAGCTTTTGCCCATTCGGTATAATGTAGGCTGTGGTTTTGTCATAGATGGCTCTTATTATTTTGAGGTTTGTTCTTTCAATACTTAATGAGAGTTTGTAACATGAAGGGATATTGAATCTTATCAAAAGCCTTTCTGCATCTATTGAGATAATCATTTGATTTCTGTCATTAGTTCTGTTTATGTGATGAGTCACATTTATTGACTTTTGTATGTAGAACCAACCTTACATCCGAGGATGAAGCCTATTTGATCATGGTGGATTATCTTTATGATGCACTGCTGGATTCAGTTTGTAAGTATTTTGTTGAGGACTTTTACATCTATGTTCATCAAGGATATTGGTCTGAAGTTTTCTTTCTTGTTGGCTCTTTGCCAGGCTTTGGTATCAAGATGATGCTGGCCTCATAGAATGAGTTGGGGAGAAGTCCTTCCTCCTTAATTTTTTGGAATTGTTTCTGTAGGAATGGTACCAATTTTTCTTTGTACATCTAGTGGAATTTGGCTGTGAATCCATCAGGTCCTGTGCTTTTTTGGTTGGTAGGCTATTTATTATGATTAAATTTTGGAGCTGATTGTTCTGCCACATTGCTTGAACAGAAATGTGAGCTGATTAAAGACATGAAGAAAACAAGACAAAAGAAAAGGAATTCAGGGTAGGTTCCAGCAATGTGGCAGAAACAAGGCTGTAGGTAAGAGAGACTCCGTGCATTGCAGGTGATTCAGAAACGTTTACAAAGTGATTTGTTACACCACTTAAGGGTGTTTTCAGACTGGTGCAAGAATTTCCCATAATATCTCCAAACCTTCAGTTCAAGCTTGAAACCAACCCTAGCATTAGGTTAGTAGTAAATTAAGAAATAAAATGAAGACAGCTGTTTTCAGGTGCTGGGACAAAGAAGACTGGAGATAAACAAATAACTTAGCAGAAATAAGTCCCAGTCCTACCAGATAAATCATTGGAACGAATAGAGGGATGCTGGATTTCCTAGAATGTTGGGAGTTATGGGCTTAAACGGCATGGTTGTGACAAGGTTTTTAACCATACAGAGCTTCATCTTGAAAATGTATAGGCCTGTGATAAAGGATAAATTCAGTCACACATACAGGGCATAGAACACAGTGTTTGTCACATGGTACAAAATAAATACTGACTTATTATAATTATTATTTTAAAAGCTTTGGGTACATGGGAACATTCTGATGACATGTTTTAAGTTAATAATTAAATTTTAGGAGCACTAAGTCTGCCTATAATTTTTACAGATATAGGAATGTTATGTGTATGGACTTTTACAACTGATCAGCTGTTTAGTTACTCTGATAAAGATCAGTTTGATCCTATATGGTTTGCATTTGTCCAGCCTGCTCTATATAAAATGTGCGATTGAACCCTACTGTTATTATTACCTGTCTCTGTGGGACAGCCTGGAAGTTATAAGTTTAGCTAATAAAAAGAAAAACTGGGGTACATTTTGAAAGATAATAGGCATAGAAGACAAAAAGTGAACTAGTAAGTAAACTAGTTGTATTCAGACCGTCCAATAGGAGAGCATCTCAGATCTGAAGATTATGAACTGTCTTGGCAGGATGGTTTTGCCCTGGACTTTTTATAGGAAGAGAAAGGCAAGTTCAAGGTGGGGAAATTTACAGTTGGGGCTGTTTTACAATCGGGGGAAGTCCCAGTCAGCTGGCTGAATAGGAAATGTTTATTTTTGAATGTAGCTAGTTTTGAGGACACAAACCATTCTAATATCAGCTAATAATTTTTGGAACAAAAAATGGGGAGTTGGAGGGTCTGTATCTGACCATGTCAGCAAGCACAGGCAAAAGAGGAGAGGTCTGTGTTTGATGCATCACAAGTAAACAAGAGAACCACGAGAAATTTTCCAGGTGTTAGGAGAAAGAATGGGTAGAGAGTCTTATCATATAGGAAAGGTAGTTCTTTATGGTAATTCATTTCCCAGAGCACAAAAGGATGCGGAGAATTCTTAACCATCGCTCTTTTCTAAGGTACCGTTCAACCTTGACACAGGGAATATGGAGACTGAGTACTGGGTCTTGACTTTGCCACTAGCTTCCAAGAGAACCACAACTTCCTCATCACTAAAATTAGAGGGAATTAAAAAAACAATTATTTAAGTGCATTTCATACTCCAATTTTTGGGAAGTCTCTCAAAGAGGTGAGATGGCAGGGTGGTGGGTAGGGAGAGAGGTTTAGGTCATAGAGGGAGGAGGGGACAACAAAGGTGTGTCACAGAGAGGGGAGGGAAAATCAGCAGGTATGTAATGACTCTGAGCAAGGTTGGTAGGATAGGAAAGGAGGCACCAGGACCTTGGCTTGGTCTGTGCCACTCTCTTTCACCCACATCAGAGACGGCTCCCAGCAATGTCATATATATTTGGGTCTTGATAAGGACTCATTTGAAGACTGCTCTCCTGTCATCTATCTTCTGCCTGTAATTAGTGTTCCTCCACAGCTGTTCTTGGGAAAGACACTTGGACTAAACATTGCGGCAGTTTATAGCTTGATCAACTTGTCTGCTTCTGGCGAGATCACAGTCTGCCATGAAGGGTTTTCTCATCATCGCTCTCTTGAGTGCAGCTGGTGAGACTTTGGGACTTTGTTTCTGCCTAGGGTGAGAGCCAGGATAGTCTATGAAAGATTTGAAAGAAGAGTAGCTGGGCACAACTTAAGAGCTAGGAAGTGGAGGACATTTAAATAAAACAGCTGTTGAAGAAAACAAAAGGAACCACATTAGAGGACATGGGCCTGGAAAAGGGGGGTGAGCTGGGTCAGGGGCTCTGGAAGCCCTAAGATTTTCTATTCCTTATACCACCAAAGTCAGGCAGTAATTTTTTACCCCCATTTTTGGCAAAAGTGAATTTAAAAAAAATTAGTCACTTTTTTTCATCCTTGTAACACACAGCACTGCCAGTCAGAGTTTGTGATCAACATATGAGTTAGTTTCACAGATTTTTGATATAATTTCATCTCAGAAAAGCCATGTGTCAATTTTCTTATTGTGTATAACCTAGGGGACATAGATAAGTTTCTTTGATAAAAATATAAAAAGTAAATTGAAGATCTTTACATTACATTTGAAAACCTTAGGTTAGGGAAAACTACCCTCACCAGTTCTGGCCTTTTAACTTCCTTTTCTCTTTCCACTTATACCCCTTTCTTCTCCAGGAGCTGTTCTGGCTAAAGATTCTAAAGATAATCAGGAGTTATCATATAATTTTACTATTCCTTACATGGTCTATCTGCAGTCCAGCCCAGAACCCTGTGTGGGGTCTCTCATTCACCCTCAGTGGGTATTGACGGCTGCCCACTGCCCCTTACCGTAAGTTTCCCTTTCTCTTGCAAGCTGGGAGTAATCTGTTCAAAGAATCATAGATCTGGTGAAGCATTCCAGAAAATTTTTAGTGAAATCAGAAGACACAGAAAAAAAGAGACTCTTGTTCCAATTGGAAATAGAATACAAATTTGGGCAGTTTAAGAGGAGATAAGTAGGAAGGTGTCAGAGGATTCCCTCTCATGGGTAGTAAATAATAGTCATTCATCAACAATACTTGTTAAACACTTATTATATAGCAAGGGCTGTTTAATCACTGATTAAACAGTGAAGGAACAAGATGAAAATAAGTGTTCCCTCATGGAGCTTCATTTGGTAGAGGGAGTAGCCAACACAAATAAGTGGCCAAAAAGAAAGCATTACAAAAACAAATGGCAAGCTGTAATATATGGCCATGAAACAAGAGATCTGCCTTAGTTAATGTGAGCATGTCCATCATCTCTGAAGAGGTGAGATCAATAGGAAGATAAAGAGACAGCCAAATGCATTAATCCTGGGGGATATTCCAGACCAAGGGAACAATATTCATATACTCCCTGAAACAGCAAAGATATTAGGGCATTTGGCAAGCTGAGAAATCAGCAGGAACTAAGGGGGTATGCTGAGTAGGGTGAATGCTCATAGGATGAGGTCAAAGAATTAGGCAGAAGCCATATCATGCAGTGACAGTAGAAGGGCAAGGAAGCACTATACAAAATAAAGCAATTTCCTGCAAATCTCAGTGTTTCTGTTGTGTATGAGAATGTGTTGTGTGATCAAGACCCACTCAGTTTCATGAGTATAGCAGAGGTCTTTCAAATCCAGAAATCTAAGCCACCTGGCTGTTCAATGCAGTTTAGTTTAACACAGACTGAACCTGTGCTCTGTGGTATATGGGAAATACAAAGGAAATAGGCAGCTCACATCGTCCTGGAATAAGAATTGGAAAATCAGATGTCCTTTCTTACATCCATACTTAACGCATGAACTGGATGTGTGGTGCCTCTCTATTAGCTGCTAATTCAGATGATCAAAATCTTAATAACAAGACTCTACTGACTATGTTTTAGGTGCCAGAACCACATCAGACATTTTAGAAATTTATGTCTCTAATACAACAATTCTGTAAACTATTACCATTATTTTATAGGCAAAGGCAGGCCATGTCAGCTCTCAGGTTAAGACAGAAAGTCAAAACAAAGGGGGTGGACTGTATCATTTCTTGTAATCTGTCACCCTATAACTCTTTCTTTTCATCTGTCTGCCCTCTTTCTTCCAAAGTGTGGAAATTCGACTGGGAGTTTCTCAACCTAGCATCACAAATAAGAAACAACAAATACGAAACTATTCATCGATTGTGACCTACCCTGACTTTGATGCAAAATCCTTGAACAATGACCTAATGATGATCAAACTGTCCAAGCCTGCTTCACTCAACTCCTATGTGGGGACTATAGCCATAGCCTTGGAACCAATTCCATTTAATGAGTCCTGCTTTATTCCAACTTGGACCTGGAATAAATATAAAAACCGTAAGTGTTTGATGCTATGTTTTTTATACTGAGGAGGTTGGAGCTGGGAGAAAATGTGGGGGAATGTCCCTGATGGAAATCGCTGCTGTGCGACAATGTTGTCCACCATAGAGGGATTCCTGCCAGGGCCCTATACCACCATAACTGGAGGTCATAGATAAAAATTCGAAGAGACTGATAAAGGGCAGCCACTCTGACACCAACAAATGGAGCAGACAGTAATTTTTATATCTATAGAATATTGAAAACAGAGTCCAGAGGACTGGATTGAAATAAAGATGGGAAAAATAGGAGTTTTCATGCACAAAGACAGTGTCATCAAGGCAGCCTGTTGGAGGGTGACTTACTCATTGATAGTTGCTGAAAGCCTATCACACAATGGAAGAACAGTGGGGAAAATGAACATAATATATATGTGATGTAGTGAGGCAGCAGACGATGCTTCCTACATCCTCTACAGAGAACCCAATTTATGTGCAGAGAACACTGGGAGACAAAAGAATGTTTCAGAGAGCACCTGCCCTGTCACCAGAGCTGGTTCCTCGCAGAGAGTGCCACTCATACCTACTGTTCCATCCCGGAGTTCCCACTTAGAGGTGGAGACATGGGTGGTTCATAGGGAAATTGATTATTATGACATAATCAGTGGGTATCTCCCTGGTCTGTCATCCCTCATGGAAAAAATAGTGATAGCCCATGTTGTAAGTACACACCCTTCTCCCCTGTGAGCTGAAATTGGGATGAGCAGAGAGATCTGTCTAATAAAGAACAGTTACGAAGAAATTTACTTTCTAATGCCTTTGTTGGTCTTTGTTGGCTGTTACTCCATTATGCTTTCTTTAGGTATTGTGAGAGGATGAGGATATATCACCACCTGATATATGAAATGAAATGACAAATCTAAATCTATTGCTTATTATAGCAAGGTACAGCAATGCTGACAGGCACCATCCTACTGAGCAGAGTGAAGTGCTGATTAGCATATGGGGTTTGTGGGAAGCTTGGAGTTGAGGGATTGGAGAACTTTCAGAAGTATGAATGGGTTACATCATCTGCCAAGGCCTAGCTACTTCAGGGGGATTGCTGTTGATTGATTGGCACAATGAGACGTGTTTTTTTCAGAGGACCTCTGATCCTGATCAGCTGATTTTAAGAGGTGAAAGCTGACACTGATTATCTTGCAAAAGCTACGTTCACTCAAGCAAGTTGTCCTGGATCTATTAAGCCAATTTAAATCTTTCTCTGGTGGCTACAGAACAACGCACCTGTTCTGTAAAAGCAAATCAAAGTGGAATTTAAAAAATCAGTCTTTGGTAAAAAAAAACAGAAATAAAAAGTAGAAACTATTATATTTTCAGTATTTTGCAGCTGCATTTTTCAACTTAGAAGCAAAGTACTTGGAAATCTAAGTGAACGTGTTTTCTGAAAAATTGCAGCTTGTATGATATTTGTCCTTGGCTTTTTAAGTCTTATCAAAAGTAATTGAATCACAACTTATAGAAGTAACGTATTATGTACCATTTGAAAACAAAACAAAACTATTCAGAGATATACAGGCTCTACATGTCAAAATCACAGTGACAAACTGTAGCTCTACGAGCTTTCTGGTGCAGGGATTCCAATATTTATTAGAAATTCATTATTTCAAGTAACTTAAGTGGCTTGCATTTAACTTTTTATACATATTTTAATTTAGTTACCATAAAAACTTAAAATTGAATATAATTTCTTTTTCTTCTCTGACCTGACACCTTCTGGCCTAATCTGCTTTAGGGCATTCAATTGGGTATGCTCTTTCAGAAAAAAATACTGCTCCTTAAACAACACTGGACTCAGTTTGAGCAATCTCTGGTCAAACTTTTGTTTCCTTTCTGTTTGCTATTATGTAATTAAAATCACATAATATCTTGGTTAAATTCCCTCTGTCTTGAAGTTGATAGTATAATAGCAATTGCTATTATGGAGATAAACAACATGATGACTTCTTAAGGGGAAATCCATATGTGTATTTATAGCAATACACATACTATATATACTTATAAATAAATACTAAAAAGCAGTTTTATATGCATTAAAAATAGTTTCTCCCTTTCTAATTAAATGTGAAAAAGATCAAGTATATGCCCAATAAGAGCGTGTGTGTGTGCGTGCATGCGTGTGTGTGTGTGTGTGCGTGCGTGCATGTGTGCGTAGGGGGAAAATCTTAGAGACAATGGGTTTGCTGCTGTCTCTTTCTCCTTGTGGTCACTAATAACTCACAGTTTTTCAAAATTTTGTAAATGATGCATAGTACAGAAAGAACTATGGATCTGATACCTGACAAAGGGGACTTATAAATCTACTTCTCCAATATGGAGATTACTGAACAAGGAATCCTAAAGGAAAATGGAGTGTCTGCTGCTACCTGCACTAATATTCTCAGGACTAAATGTATTTACAAAATAGGATCTGGTTGCAAGAGCCCTTGTGATAAGGAGAGTTACTCTGGAGTTTGTTTTCTCTTTTCCACAGTCAGTAATCCTGACATCCTGACATGGATCAACCAATATTCTCTTCCCTTCCATGACTGTCAGGATAGACTCAAAGAAGAACTGGCAGGAAACATCATATGTGTGGGACAACCTCTAAGCATCCTATCTAAAAACAAGGTATTTCTCCCCTTTCTATACAGGGAGATAGCAAGGGTCCCATTGGAGGAGGTGGTGATAGTGCAGAATCAAAGAGCACTGATCCAAAAGGCCTCTCAAGAGTGAGGAGCAGAGAGCTAAAGTCCCTCTCCCCTCCCCACTCATCTCTGGGATTCTAACCATTCCCTTTCTCATCTTTCAGAGTGGGAGAGATTTGAGGTAGAACTATCTGTCTTATCTGTCTTTTGTCTTGCTTGAACTCGGATTGGGTCAAGCTTGAATCTTAGAGGTAAAACTTATATGTGGATATAAAGAGAGGGCTGCCCCCTCTCAAGAAAAATAAGCCCATTCTCTTGAATGGTTTTGCTACTTTCATGTGCCACTTCTTGGCATTTACTCTTTTTTTTTTTTTTTGAGATGGAGTCTCGCTCTGTTGCCCAGGCTGGAGTCCAGCGATGCGATCTTGGCTCACTGCAACCTGTCTCCCGGGTTTAAGCGATTCTCCTGCCTCAGCTTCCTGAGTACCTGGGACTATGTGCATGTGCCACCACACCTGGCTAATTTTTGTATGTTTCGTAGAGATAGGGTTTTAACCATGTTGGCCAGGATGGTCTTGATTTCCTGACCTTGTGATCCATCTGCCTAGGCCTCCCAAAGTGCTGAGATTACAGGCGTGAGCCACCGTGCCCAACTGGCACTTACTCTTGCTCCACAAGGACAAAGATGCATTGACTTTCTGTTCCTTCTCTCTATAAGGAAGTTTCAGCTGCTCCAGCCATCTGCAATGGGAGATTGCATGGAATCTTGTCCTGGGCAAAAGGAAGTGTCACGATGGGAAGTGAAGGATTCTTCACAGATGTTCATCCCTATGCAAGATGGATCTTGAAAATTATGGATACCCACTGAGGCACCTCTATTTCCATATCTACTCAGTACCACCTCTTCGAAATTTCTACACTGGATCTACAACTCTCTTCATCTTTGTTGTTTTGGAACAAAATCCAAAGAGGAAACATCTGATTAAAAAAAAGTGGGTAACCAAGAACCCATGTCATGACTCCTGCTGTCTTTGTCATGTAAACTTTGAGGATAATGAGAAATTTAGCAACATCTTCACTTGTGTTCATTTATTCATTCAAAAACTAACCTCTAGCTACTTAGTAGTCACTGCCTTTGCTACGGATGCCTGAGTGACTATGACATGACCTTGGCCATCAGTTGGATAATGATAATACCTTGTGATAACTGCTATAACAGAGATGAGCAGTAAGCTCCACAAAAACATAAAATAAAACATCCTGAGTGGCAGTGTCAGGAGCAGTAACACCAGAGAGGCAGACAAATTAGGGAAGGATATTGTAAAACTGAGCACATAGTTTATTAAAAGGCAAAAAAGCATATGAAAGTGTAGTATGGTCTGGAATATATATGTAAATAAGTAATCCTTGAGTGTAGAAAATAAACTATAGGTGAGGGATAAAATATCATTCCACTTAGGCAGGCAAAGGTTGGCTGATCAAGGACCTGACCTGCTCTATAAAGGAACTTAGATTTTTATCTTGTAGGCGTTAGAGGGGGTGTCATTGAAGCTTTTACAGTAAACAGAATACCATCCAATTTCTTATTTGAGAGATACTAAGGGAGTAACATCTATGAGATTTGGACATACTTACTGTAAGAAGAAAAGCCAAGGGAGGTATCAGGGATAACTCCCAAGTTTTTGACTTGGACAACAGGTTAGATGGTTATTCTCAAAGATCATATGAGGATAACAAGGGAATTTGTGTGCAAGGTATCAAGAGCATGGTCCTGCAAGAGGAGACAGGTGGCCTGGTATACTGAGATCCTTTAAGGATGTAGAGGTGGTTATTTCCAGCAGGCAGTTGGAGACAGTGATCTGGAACCCAGATGCTGTCTGAGAAGTGACTAACCTATGTTGGTGGGTGGTAGCTGTAGGGTTTGGGAGGGCTCTCTGCTATGGAGAACAGCTGTGATGGGTGCTCAGCCCTTCTCTGGCATATGATGGGGAGACATGCAGCATCCCACAGCCACTGACCAAGGCATCTAAAAACAGAGACAGAGTTAAAAGGATTCTGAGTGTTATGCTGACACTTGAGAGACCAAATAACAACAGGGAGAAAAGGGTTAGTATGACCTAGGGATCTTATGTTAAAAAAGAAAAGATGGGCAGAGGAGGCCAATGAAGATGAGAATAGAGAACCACACCATAGGAGAAATCTCCTGTGGGAGGTATAAAGAGGTTTGGAGTTTCTTCCCTTGAGGGATGCAGTGAATCTAGGGCATCTATAGAGACTGCAGAGGTGACTTGGTTTTTGGACCCTGAGCCTGGATCCCTGGATGTGTTTTCTCATCTTCTAAAGCCAAAACAATACAAAACAAAACTCATGCCTATAATCCCAGCACTTTGGGAAGCTAAGGTGGGAGGACTATTTGAGACCTGGAGTTTAAGACCAGCCTGGGCAACACAGAGATGATTGTCTCTACATAAAATAGTGATAATTAAAAAAAAAAACTCCTAACTACATGGGAGGCTGACAGGGGAGGAGGTTGAGGCTGCAATGAGCTATTATTGTGCCACTGACTTCCAGCCTGGGTGACAGAGCAAGAACCTGTCTCTAAAGCAACAACAAAAACCAAAACCAGAGAGCTTAGGTGTGTCTAAGACCGATAGCTTGTTCTGGTCCATTCACAGAAATTTTCCTTGTTCTCAAATATAGATATTAAGGCCATTTCATTCACTGTATGATTTTTTTTCTGTAATCTTTTGCCCCATCCAAACGGCAAGTCCTCAGTTTGCCAGTCTTCTCTCACATTTTCCCCTGCTTTCTGTCTCTGGCTCAATGCCCAAGGCTCCCTTTACCCTTAATGAATCACATCTATATTTGTGCCAGAGGTTTTTTTTTTTTTTTTTTTTTTTAATTTCAACTTTTAGATGCGGGGGGACATGTGCAGGTTTGTTACACGGATATATTGTGTTATGCTGAGGTTTGGAGTATGGGTCCCATCACCCAGGTAGTAAGCAAAGTACCTCATAGGTAGTTTTTCAACCCATGCCCCCCTCCCTCCCTCTCACTTTTAGTAATCTGCAGTATCTACTCTTCTCATGTTTATGTCCATGTGTGCTCAGGGTTTAGCTCCCACTTATAAATGAGAACATGCAATATTTGGTTTTCCATTCCTGTGTTAATTAACTTAGGATTATAGTCTTTAACTAAATACTTCTTGTAATTCTTGAATTACATCTTTAGCACTTATTGGCAATCCTGTCTTCTCCAAGTAAATTGTTTGGATAATTCTCCACAGCAGCCATTTCAAACCCTCTCCTCTCTCCTCTTTCAATGCTAACTTTTAGCAGATGACCTCTAGTTTGGGAGTAGAGAAAAGTTGAAACCATCAGAAAATGTCTCCCTCAACTTGTCACCACCAAAATTGCAAACATACCTGTTCCCCCCCCCACACACTTTTTTTTTATTCTTCCTGCTGTAGTGGAAGCAAGACCTTATTATTTACAGCCTCTATCTCCACCTGTGAAATGGACCCTATCTAGTCTGACTTCCTCATGGACTTTCTTTATGGATTATCTCCAGATTTCCCTATCATTGCTTCTTCTTGTTATTATTTAAGCAAAATAAAACCTCACTAATCTAAAATACAGAGAAGAAGGACATGTTTCTTTGACTTACTCTCTGGTTGCCTCTTCTATCTCCTTTGCAGGCAGCTCTTACTCCACAAATCCTGCAAAGTCTGTTCTGTAGGATTCTCCTATCTGTGTCTCCTTACCTGTCTCTCTCTTCATTCTCTTTTTTACAATCTGCATTCTCTTTGGAGCTCTGGTTCATCCACCTGGAGATTTCTTCCTTATCTCTTTATTTGGTTAACTTCTACCCATCCTTCAATCTCAAACTTCACTTCTCTAAGGAGATCTTCTTCTCACCTTATATTAGGCTCCACAACATGCTTCTCTAACTTCCCTTTTCTTTTGACATTCATGATGGTGATTCTTATTATCACCTGTCTCCCTTCATTAGGCATTATGACATATGAGAACAAGCTTCTCATCTCCCTTGCCACAGAATCATCAGTATTGAATGCAGTGCTAGCATCCAGTAGGCATTTGTGTTAATTTTCTATTGCTGTGTAAAAACATCACAGATTTAATGGCTCAATAAAAGTACACATTTAGGAGGAGTTCAAGAAAAAATGGTGGATAGGAGGCAGGACTAATTTGCAGCTCCCACTCGGGGGAACAGAGCATCATGTGGAGACCCACATGTGAACTTTTTCTCCAAGAACTACTGCAGGAACATATCAGGAAAGCCAAGAGAATTCACAGACCCTTTGAAGGAGGTAGATTTCCGCTGCAGGCTCTGTGGGATAGCCAAGGAATTCTGAAGACAAGGGACATAACCTCTCAGGAGCTCTACGGCCTGAGAAACCTCAATGTTTATCCAAAGGTGACCCTAGAGAAAGCTTGTATTCTCCCTATACAATCACAGCTGATGTGTTCTGGAAAGCACCACCTCCTGGCTGGAGGCCATCCATCACAAATCCAGTGCACTTGACAAAAATACAACAAAGGACCTTCACAGAGTCCGCTTCATTCCCCTGCTACTTCCACCGGAGCAGGTGCTGGTATCCATAGCTCAGAGACCTGAATGCAGATCACAGATCACATCATATAACTCTTTGCAGACACTCCCCTGTACCACCCTGGAGCCTGGCAGCTCCACTGGGTGTCTAGATCCAGAAGAGAAATAACAATCACTGCAGTTCAGGTCTCAGAAAGCCCCATCCCTAAAGGAAAGAAGAGAGCACCACATCATGGGAGCATTACTGTGGGCCAAAAGAATCTGAACAGTAACCCATGGTCCCAGATATTCCCAGCGATGTAGTCTACATAAATGAGAAAGAACCAGAAAAATTCTGGTAATATGATAAAACAAAGTTCTTTAATATCCCCAAAAGACCACAGTAAATCACCAGCAATGGATCCAAACTAATACAAAAATCTCTGAGTTGCCAGGAAAAGAATTCAGAAGGTTGATTATTAAGCCAATCAAGGAGGTACCATAGAAAGGTGAAGTCCAACTTAAAGAAATCAAAAGTTATACAGGATATGAATGGAAAAATCTCTAGTAACATAGATAGCATAAATAAAAACAATCACAACTTCTGGAAATAAAGGACACACTTAGAGAAATGAAAAATGCCAGATATAGGTGAAGGGGAGGAAGGCAGCAAATCACACTGCCATGTGTGTACCTATGCAGCTATCTTGCATGTTCTTCAAATGTATCCAAAAACCTAAAATGCAATTTAAAAAAATCTTAAAAAAATACACTGGAAAGTCTCAGCAGTAGAATCAAACAAATAGAACAAAGAATTTCAGAGCTGGAAAACAAGGCTTTCAAATTAACCCAATCTGACAAAGACAAAGAAAAAAGAATTTTTTAAAAATGAACAAAGCCTCCAAAAAGTTTTGAATTATGTTAAATAACCAAACTTAATAATAATTGGTGTTCTCAAGGAGGAAGAAAAATCTAAAAGTTTGGAAACGATATTTGAGGGAGTAACTGAGGAAAACTTTCCTGGCCTTGCCAGAGATCTAGACATTCAAAAACAAGAAGCTGAAAGAACACCTGGGAAATTCATGGCAAAAAGATCATTGCCTAGGCACATAGTCATCAGGTTACCTAAAGACAAGACAAAGGAAAGAATCTTAAGAGCTGTGAGGCAAAAGCATCAGGTAACCTATAAAGGAAAATTTATCAGATTAACAGCAATTTTCTCAGCAGAAACCCAAAAGCTAGAAAGGATTGGGGTCCTATCTTTAGCCACCTAAACAAACAATTATCAGCCAAGAATTTTGTGTTCAGTAAAATTAAGCTTCATAAATGAAGGAAAGACAGTCTTTCTTAGACAAACAAATGCTAAGAGAATTCATCACTACTAAGCCAGCACTAGCAGAAAACTGCTAAAAAGAGCTCTAAACATTGAAAC